TTGAAATCTGTTTCATTACTTTGCTATATTTCTCCCAATTGCATATTCATTCCATAAGAAAACATAAAAATAGGGTTAGTATCAAGTACATGGTTATATCTGGCATTCTCAGTAGAGGCAGTGTGGGCAGTATTGGATTTCTATCTGCCTTCTGATCTCCCACTGCTCAACCTTAGTCCCTGGGAAGGTCATATTCAATCCATTTTGATCATTACACAGTGAAGCATTGGCAGGCTTGGACAGGGAAACACTATTGTATTTAGGTTTCTTATTTTTGAGAGCCAGTAAAGCAATGCAAAAGATCTCAAATGGGGGATAAATGAAACACAGGAGTTGTTGGGGAGGGATGGACTGTAAGGAGGATTCATCAAGGTCCTGATGGCTATGGTGTTAGCATGGCTGTGCTTTGTACATTGATCAGGAGATGAGCGGTACTCAGGGAGAGGAAGAGCACAAGGGGATCCCAGCTAATAGATTCTTTCTGTGGGATTCGTTGGTGATCATACAAGACCACAAATATAAAGGAGGACAATCCAAGAGTCAGTTCTCCAAAGTCCATACAGTGGAACAGAAAGTCACTTGCTATGATGTGTTCTCCGAGGGCCCACCCTAGGCAGGGGCGGGCTGCCTCTGCTCCTCCCCCGGCCCCTGAGCACCACAGTCGGGTTTTGCCCTCTGTGGCCATATTTTTAGACACGGATACATCTGTATCTCCAGTCCTTTCTCTTGAGCTCCAGCCACTCTTCCTGGGTGGATTTTCACTTGGACATCCTCTAATTTGGTGAGTTTAACTGCTGTGTAAAATTAAAATTTGCAAACCAGCTCCCCCTACTTTCATGATACCTCTCAATCTGGACTATTTTTTAACCCTCACCTGAGGATATATTTATGGATTTTAGAGAAATAGAGGAACAGGGAGGAGATAGAGAGAGAAAGAGAGAGAGAGACATCAATATAACAGAGAATGACCAGTTACCTCCCATACAAACCCCAATTTAGGACTGAACCCACAACCTAGGTATCTGCCTTGGCAGGGAATAGAACCCACGACCTTTTGGTGTGTAGGATGACGCTCCAACCAACTGAGCCACCCAGCCTGGGCAGTCTGGAACCATTCTGCAAAATGTAATGTTAAAGATAGGTGACACATTCACATGTTTTTAAAAAACAAAAAAGTTATATATGAAAATTTTCCTATCTTTCCTTTCCCCATGTAGCCAATTCCACCTACTTGCAAGAAACTTCAAGTTTCTTCACCCAAATACAAATATGAATATAAATTTCCTTCCTTTTTATTCACAAGGGATGATTTTCTTCACGCTTTTCTGAACCATGTGTTCTATTGTTGCATAACAAATACTTCTAAACTTAGTGGCTTCAAACAAGTTCTTTTTTCTCTCTCATAGTTTGGTGAGTCGATTGGGCTGTGCTAGCTGTTAGTTCTTGCTTTGAATTCTCACTGTGGTTGCAGTACGATGTCGGTTCGTCCGGGAGTTAAGTGAAGGCTCGGCTGGACTGGGTGTCCCAGCTCTGCTTACAAACAGCCAGCAATTGATGCTGGCTGCTGGACGGCAGCTCAGCTGCCAGAGCACGTTGGCCTGAACTCTCCATGTCCCTGGGGCTGCTCCCAGCAAGGAAGGTGAGTTCCAAGTGGGAGCCTCTGACAGGTGAGCATTCCCAGAGAGCGGGAAATAGAAGCTACCAGGACAATTAAAGGCTCCTTACAGAACTGGCACCGTTACCTCTGCTGTCTTTCATTGGCCAATGTAGCCACAGGGCTGCTGAGGGTCAAGGGGGTGGGGAAATAAACCCTGTCTCTTCCTAGAGGAGTGGCAAGATCATATTGGAGAAGGTCTAGGGGAGAGGAATACTGTGCTGGTCGTCTTTGTAAAACACCACTTGTGACACCACCTGAAGTACTTTCCTGTTCCTCCTCACACGTGTCGGAGGTCCACGGTGCTTTCTTTCAGAAAGTCTAACATCTAACACCCGCCTCCCCCATTGCCACTGGCTCCATTAATTCAGACCTTCATCTCTTTGTAGCCAGTTAATTGTCAGAGTTATCTTCCTGCTCTCCAATTTCCCTTCACTGCAAATAACCAATAAAACCTGTGTTTTCTTACATTGGAATTTCCATAAACTTTAGCTTCGATGATGTCATTCTCCTAAGTAAAACATGGGCTTAAGTACCACGGTGGTTTTGTTTGATCTGTGCGATGTTGGCATATGTACTATTTACATTTTTAAAAACTTTCAACATTGCCAAATCCAGATTAGGTTCCTTTTGAAAAACTGGGTTCTCAGATGTGGAAATTCAGTTACTCTGCTGATATGTTCTAGATATGGAACAAAAGGGGAAAAACTGGTCCCTGTGTAGCTTAGATTATAGTGCAGAGAAGCAGACAATAGACAAATGAATAAGTAAAACATATAGAATTACATATTTACCTACAGAGAATAGATAAACTATATTGTGTGGCAGTAAGTTCTGTGGAGGGCTGGGAAAAGGATGGAAAAAGCAGTGGATGGGCGGGTCTACAATTTTAAATCACGTCGTCCTGGAAGGCCTCACTGAAATGACACATTTCAGTTAAAATTTTTGAGAAGAAAAAGGTTTCTAGAAATTTCCTTTTCCATAGAGTAGCCTGTCCACATGTAGCTTCTACAGTTAAAGTAATTCAAATTAAATTGAATTGAATACTCAGTTTTTTAGGGACACGAGCCACACTTTAAGTGCTCAGTGTGACTAGTGGCTACGAAGCAGATGTAGACCGCTTCCACCACTGCAAAAAGTTCTACTGGGCAGCATTGCAGAGAAATGATATTCCAGGCAGAGAGTACAGCAAGAGCAAAGGTCCTGGGGTGGGACACTGGTTGACTTAGCTCAAAGCTGGCATGGCTCTTCCATTTGCACATTCCTACAGCTCCCTGTTGTCTGCCTGATACTGTGGCTGAATAGCAATTTTCATTTATTACTTCATTTATTATTCAAGCCAGCTTTCCAAAGGTCCTTATTGATCAAGGCCATAGAATCTATAGGATGAAGTCTGAACTTCCTGTGAGAAAGCTGTGTGAACGGCAGTCAAGACCAAGAGTCTGGACTAGGAGACAGAACATATGTGCGCGGTTTGGGAGCAGACTAGGTTTATGATGTGATTCAACAGGTACCGTCAAGAATAAAATGGCACAAGCACCCGCCCATCAGAGTGAATGTTGACTGCAAGTGTCCTGGAAGGCCTCTGTCGGACCAGGACGCCTGGACCCTCAGCTGGTGTTTCAGAGGAAAGTCTGGAGTACAGGGTGACATTCTGGGGCTCCTGGTAATGCCTGGTTTCTAACTGGAGCTGAAGCATTTCAATATTCTATAAACCGGTAAGTCTTATTTGGTAAGTACAAGTGGGATTCAGCCATGCATAAACAAACACGGTCGGTATTTTGAAACTGTGGTGGACCGTCGAGTTCCTTGCAGAGCTCTTTCCACACAGCTTAAGGTGACGGGGTTTAAGGCCTTCTGCAGTGTCACCAGCATGCGTTCTAATATTTTCTCCTGCTCCCCCATTATATTTCTGTCCCTCTCTCCCTCCAGCGCAACACACGCAGTGCCCAGTAGTTCTGTGCGATACCACCTTGGCCTTGTTCCCATGATTTTCCTCTTTCCTTCGAGGACTCTCCCCGCTCGGCTCTAAGGCACAGTTTAAACTGGCCTCATTGGCTTTCCCGTGCTCATCGCAGGCCAGAAGCATGTCTCGCTCCTGCGGCTCGGAATGCTCATGATCCACACTCACTTGGCAATTACCTAGAGTACACAGCAATTCCTCTGTTTTTCTATATGTTTATTTTTCTCCTGGGCCAAATCCTAAATTCTTGGCAGTGAAAGGTCACAAGTCACTCTTCCTTTTTCCTGCCACATTTCCATATATATTCCCCCAGTGAGGGACTGAGGGTACACGGTAAACCAACTCAGGGCCCTGACCTTCTGTAATCCTTACTTGTCCATTTTATTTTCATTTTAAATGTAAGCTTATGAAATTCTTACAAGTCGTAGGCCAAGATGGGGGCCCCAGTGTCCTACTGATGAGTGAAAGCCCTGGCTGGCCTTCACTGACGATATGGGACTGAGGATTCACAGCCACCTGGACTTTAAGGCCCTGCTGGAACACCTTCCTCTCAGGGCTCCACCATCCCTCGCTTCTGCCCTGGTGCGAACAATGATTCACACGGCGCTGGCCTTTACAGTTTACCAAGCACATTCATCACGCGCATCAGGCTTTCAGAGAAGGTCAGGTTCCAACATGTTAACAGAGATTCACCTTCGGGTCACCAGACTCTTACCGATTTTGCTAAACACCTATCATAACCAACACAAGTTTTCTCCCCTTGTCCTTTCCAGAGGACTGCACCAAAGACAGGCCAGCGTGACGGTGGTGATGGAGGGGGCGCAATTCTGTGTCATTGGCGTACGACTTGTAGCAGAACACAGCTTATTTTGAAGTTCTTTGGCAAAAACCGTTTCCAGAAACAGCTATTGTGATTCGGGGCTAGGCTGTGCAAAAAGCAAGGAGGGGTTACAGAGAGGGAGAGTCTCAGGCTTCCCAGTTCGCCTGGTCGAAGTCCAAGTCAACCTTGGCTTTTAAGGAAAGGAAGTGAAGTGGGACTTTTCAGCCTAAAGGGAATTGGAGTTGGGGGTGGGCAGTAAAGTGGGTTTGCTGAAGGATTCTGGGAACCCCGCACCTACGGATGAGACAGTGCCTGAGGTGTCCTACCTACCCTCTCCTTCTCGGGTTCCAGGAGAGGCTGAGGGGGGCCAGGTCCGCAGGCTGAGGTGAGCCGCGGACGAGGGCGGGGCGGGGCGGGGCGGGGCCCGGCGCACCTGGGCGGGGAGGGGGCGGTGCGCCGGGCTGATCCCGGCACAGGGGCCCCGGCGCGCGCCCCTGGGCAGCGCTGGCAGCGCGCCCCGCGCCCGAGCCGCAGTCGCGCCCTCTCGCTGCCTGGCGAAGCGCGGAGGCAAGCGCTGGGGAGAGAAGCTGCCCGCGCCGCCGTCAGGGCGTCGGGATGGCCGTGGGCTCGGTCAAGATGCAGCCGCCGTGCGAGAGCCCGGCCCTGCGCCGCAGCCCAAGCGCCCGCGAGCGCGAGCAGCCGCCAGCGTCCCTGCGGCCGAGGCTGAAGGACCTGCCGGCGCTGCTGCGGAGCGGGCTCACGCTGCGGAGGAAGCGGAGCGTCGCCGGGGGCCGGGTGAGTGCCGGCTGGGTCCGGCGCGAGTGGGCACGGGCGGCGCGCACGTGGAGCCCGCGCCCGTCCTTGGGGGCCGCAGAGGGGGGCGTCAGGAAGTTGGGGAGGTGGCGGGAGGGGCACCCTTTTGCGGGACTAGGTAGAAGAGGGTCCGGGGACAGCGGAGTCGTACGTTTCCACACCCCACACACCCAGTGAGCGACAGTTTCCCCTCCCCCCACCCCCAGATGCACCTGATTTAACCCAAGGGCACCTGGCCTCCGGCAGCCGGACCATTGGGCATCGCCGGAAGAAAGGCAGTTCGCCGGTTCCCAGAGAGGCAGCTGCAGGTGCCCGGTACCTAACAGTCGGCCAGCCGGGTCCCGACAGCACGCTTCAGGGCCCACGAGTGGGAGCCACGGGTGTGCAGGAGGCAGTGGACGTGTGCGCTCGTTTTGGACGCCCGGTTGCCAGCTCTGGGCATCGGGAGTGACTCTGGACGCCGCCGCCGACGAGGGGAGACCCCGGAGTGGGAAGTTACTGAGCCAGCTTTTTTAGCTCCTGGGTTCTGGCGTCTCCAGCACTTAGTACTGGATGATGAGCCCCCCTCCATCTTAAATCATAATACTTCCTGATGGCGTATTGAAATATGGTGTTTAGGTGAAGGAGTGCCGCTCGTTGGGTGCCAAGAGCATCTGATGGCCCGGGCAGGTGGGACGTGTTTTGTGTGTCAGAGCAGCGGACGGCCTGCTGGTCCCCCGCATCTCTCAGGAGCCCCTCCGAAGGCCTCAGGCCACCTGGCTGACTTCTCACGTTTCCCCCCTCACCAGGGCTTCAGGGCATTTTTGGTGGTTTCCACTCAGTTTAAAAAAAATGTGTCATTATTAATCAGGCTTTACTGAGAAGCTGCAACAAGGTAGGTGTGTGTGTGCCGGGGGGCGGGGGGGGCTATAATTTTAAAAATAAAGTCTTTGTTGTCCGCCTCTGAAAGAGGACCTTACCAGGGGACTTTTAGCTCTCGCAAAGACACAATCGTGGAATCTTGAGAGGTAGGGAGAAACACTCGTTTCAGTGTGGCTTCCTGCGGGTAGGGAAGGGTCTGAATTGCTGTAGGTCTTCAGCCTCTTCTAGGCTGCATTCTTCCTTTTTTAGGCATTTTCCTCCCCACGTTGGGATGGCTGTATATGATCTACCTCAGGAGAGTGTTCTGAGGATTACGTTGGTGTTTCGGTTCATGACCAAGGGACTTTAGGAATTGCCCACATGTGACCTTAACGTGCAGCAGACAGAATGGCCTGCAAAGAATGCGAGGAAATATGTCCCAAAGATGTGATAACTAAATATACGCAAGAACCAGAGTTGTGGACTTGGCAGGAGTGTAGAGAAAAGTAGGTCAGTGCATGTTCCTGTTTTCCCTGACAGTTACTTTTTCATGGCACAGAATTCTGAAGGCCCGGCAGTCAGGGAAGAGCGTGGCTGAGGGCTCCTGGGCAAACAGGTCGGTGGCATTCTTCATCTGTAGGCAGCCCGATGTTTCTCGCTGCCTGGGGTGATGTCCTGTGCCTGGCCGATAAACAAATTTACCCCCGTCTTCTGAATTCTTCTGAATTCTTCTGAATGTAGTCCCTTCAAATATGTATTCTTCATTCACCCTTCTTCCGTGCTAAGACTGGTTCTCTTTGGGACATTCCAGACACAGTTCCTAGGTGCATGGCCAGTTCCTTACTGGGGGAGATTGTCCATTTTTCCAGCGTTGGAAACCCATACTGTACGACTTACCTTTCCCTGCTTTGGCTTTGGAACCACTTTTGTGAGTTTGGAATTTTCCAAAGCAAAGAGGTGGGAATTTGAAAGAAAGGAAAAGAAGGAGAAGTAGGTGGGATATGTGCCTGTATTAGTCAGCTCAGGCTGCCATAACAAAATACCATAGACCGGATGGGTTAAGCCGCAGAAGTTTATTTCTCACAGTCCTGGATGCTGGGACGTCCAAGATCAAGGTGCCAGCTGATTTGGTTTCTGGTGGGAGTGCTCTTCCCGGCTTGCGGACAGCCGCCTTCTCTGTGTTTCCTCCCTCACATGGCCATTCCTCCTGCACATGGAGGGAGCTAATCTCTCTCTTTTCCTTTCCTTATAAACCCGCTAAATTCCATCACAGAGGCCCCCCCGCCATGACCTAATCCACCCCCGAATACCCCTGCGGGCCTCATCTCACAATACCACCACACTGGGGGTTGGCTCTTCAACTTACAGATGTTGAGGAGATACATGCAGTCCCTAGTAGAAGCATTTTGGAGACATAAATATACCAAACCAGTTGGTGACTTGGGAGCAATGGGGATCTTCTGATTAGTCCCTTGGTTAGGGCAACGATGTTAATACAGATGACTCCGTGGCTAGATCCTTCTGCGGACCTTTCATTTTGTATCTCCCGGGCTGCACCTCCAGGTCATGGCCAAGTGTGATTATATGGACAACTTAACACAGAGTCATTACTACTGGCTTAAAAAAACAACATTTCTGTGCATTACACAAACTGGTAAGAGAGTTGGCAGTTTCTGCATTGACCAAGATCTGGTTGAGGAACCCTGGTGGCTCCTGTCTGTGCTGCCTTGGGCTGCCACAGATCCGCACAGTCTGATGGCCAGCGCCATCAAGTAAGCTCCCTGTGAGTCGTGTGGCCCCACGCCATGCCTTGTAGGTGATCTCTTACTGGGATAGGTGAAGCTGGCGTTTGGTTAACACTGCAGAACTCTGGGGCACCGTGGTTCAGTCACTTCTAATCACACTGAATTCCAAATGTACACTGATTAAGAAGACACTTTGCACCTCTTTCGGCTGAGTGGGGAATGACTCCATTTGCTGTGAAAGGACCCTAGCTACCTCCTGAAAGTTGGTGGTAAGATAAGGCCTGCTTGAATTCCCACCAAAACCTTCTCTTTGTTTTTTTAGAACTTTGTGCTAAACTTATGAGAGATTAGTGTAATAAGCACCCAAACTTCAACAGGTACTAATATTTGCCAGTCTTGTTTAACTTATCTCCTCCTTCCCCACTTTGTGTGTGTGTGTGTGTGTGTGAGCTGCTATATTTTAAGGTAAAATCTTAAACATCATGTCATCTCACTTATAAATGTTTCAGTTTATATTTCTGAGAAGGACTTTTTTCTTTAAAAAAACCAATTTCACCCTGTCCGGGTAGCTCAGTTGGTGAAGAGTGTCATCCTGATAAGCCAAGGTTGCGGGTTCAATTGTTCGGGTCAGAGCACAGACAAGAATCAACCAGTGAACACATGGATTGGGGGAACAGCAAGTCAATCAACTTGTGGTTCCTCCCTCCCTCCCTCCCTCTGTCTCTATAATCAAAAATCTAAAAAAGAAAACAACTTCAATGCCTTTTTTTACACCTAAACGTGTTAACAATATCTTATTATAATTCCCGTATTCAGATTTTGTCAAGCCTATCCTTTTACTTTTGATTTGTTGGAATCAGGAACTAAATAAGGTTCACATGTTGTATTTGGTCATTAAATTTTTAAATCTGTTTTATTAGTTGTCTCCTTATCCCCCGCCTCTTTTTTCATGCCATGGATTTGATAGAGGGAATGGGTCACTTGTCAATAGAATGTCCCACTTTCTGGGCTGATTTCTTACCGTGGTGTTACTTCATTTGTTGCTCTATTCCTCATGTTTCCTACCATCTGGAAGTTAGATGTAGAGGCTTGATTAGATTCCAGTTCGAGGACAAGCATCCTTTGTAGGCAGTGCTATGTCAAATCCATTGCATCACATCACAAGACACACAATGTCTAGGTGGCTCTTTCTGAAATGTTAAGACTGATTAGTGGGTTCAGGTAGAGCCCACTTACCTTTCTACCTTTCACCTAAGGATTTTAGCATCGTAGGTGGTTGTAGCCTAGATCCATTTCATTAGGGGTTGTAAAGTGGTGGTGATCTGGTGATCTGGATCTGTGATTCCTTTTTTAAAAAAAAAAAACACTCAGCCCTGGTCGCTGGCTCAGTGGCTCAGTTGGTTGGAGCGTTGTCCCAGAAACCACGAAGGTTGCATATGGGGGGGGGGCAACCAATCAATGTTTCTCTCTCTTACATCAATGTTTCTCTCTTTCTCTCTCCCTGCTCCTCTTTTATAATCAATAAAAAACATATCCTCAGGTGAGGATTAAAAAATGTTTATACTTTTCATTGAGGTATAGCTGACATACAACATTATATTAGTTTCAGGTGTACAGCATAATTAGTCAGCCTTTGTATTACTGTGAAAATGATCGCCGCAATAAGGCCGGTTAACATCTATCACGATACATAGTTGCAGAATTTCTTTTTCTTGTAATAAGAACTTTTAAGATTTATTCTCTTAGCAGCTCTCAGATATGCAACAAAGTATTATTGACAGTAGTTGCCACACTGACACATCACATCCTCAGGACTTATTTTTATAACTAGAAGTTCATACCTTTCGACTCCCTTCATCCATTTTGCCCACTTTTTGTACCAACAGTTTGTTCTCTGTATCTATCAGCTTGTTGTGGTTTTTTTTGGTCATTTTTAGATTCCACATAGAAGTGAATCATACCTATGGTATTTGTCTTTCTCTCTTTGTGACTTATTTCACTTAGCATAATGCCTCTAACTATGTTATTACAAATGGCAAGATTTCATTCTTTGAAGTGGCTCAATAATATTCTATTGTGTATATATCACATTTTCTTTTTTTTTTTAATCTTCACCCAAGGATATGTTCATTGACTTGAGGGAGGGGGGTAGAAACATTGATGTGAGAGAGAAGCATCAATCGGTTGATTCACCCTGAGTGGGGATTGAACCCACATCCTTTGGTGTACGGGACACACTCCAGCTGAGCCACCCTGCCAGGACCCACAGTTTCTTTATCCATTCATCCACTGATGGACATTTAGTTTGTTTCCATCTTGGCTATTGTAAGTGATGCTGCAATGAACTGGGAGTGCACATATCTTTTTCAAATTAGTGGTTTTTGTTTCCTCATTGCC